CGGATGCTGATCCAGCCCCCGGTCACCTTCAGCACCCCCGCGTCGCCGCCGAGCTTCCCCGCCCCGTTCAGCTGCACCACCGCGCCGCGCTCGCCCGCTGAGGTGGGCTCCGCCATGACCCACTCGCGCGCCGCTGGCGGGGCGAACATCCGGCGACGCCGCACGCGCCAGGCGCCCCGGCGGCAGGCGCTGCGGCTGGGGCAACGCCCAAGCCAAGCCCCTGGGACGGTGCCGCGCCAGCCAGGCCCGCAGCGGCAGGGCCCCTGGCGGCCGCGCCGCCGCCGCCAGCAGCAGCGCCCGCGTCCGCTCCGGGCGCTGCGGTCAGCGTGAAGTCGAAGACCGACCACGAGCCCGAGGCTGGCAGGGCCCCTCCACGGCCGCCGCGCGCTCCCGCGCCAGGTAGGTCTTGTCAGCGACCTGGTCCAGCGCCGATCGCACAGCGTTCACCTGCGCCGGCGTCAGGGCACGGCGGAAACGATGTGCCTGGTTGGCGTCGACCCCTGCAAGGTCCCGCCGTGCTGACCTGTGCCGAATGGCCAGCGCATCGCTGCTTTCTCGAATGTAATCATCTTCGCAGACGTCATAATCTGGAGGGCTGACGAGGTAGAAGTCCTTATCGCTCTGACCCGCCTGTGGAGGCGCTAGCTGCCCCCGCATCCGGCGACGGTGCCAGCGCGGCCCACCGAAGCATGGCATCCGCGCCCGTCGCTTGACGTGGGCACGCGGGGCGACCATTCTCGATAGCCGCAGGCGACTTGGGCTGAGTCAGACGGCCAACGACGCGCCGAGCTCTGGCGGCGAACCACAGCAACTGGATCACCGCGAAAGCGGAGTGGAGCCCCAGCGCGGTGAGGTCGAGAAGCCCCTTAAACCGACCAGAGCCCGCGCTGGTCGCCTCGGCCTTCGGCTCGCTCCTCGCGGCCTCAGGCTCGGCCGCGGCCGCCGCCAAGGGCGGCCCGGGAGGCGCGGCCGCGGGCGCCTCGAGCGGGCGCGGCGGCTCGCCCCCGCCGGCGCCAGCCTGCAAGAGCCACGTCGGCCTCGGGCACTGCAGCGACGGGCATTGCGGGCAGGTCGCGCTTGCCGGGCACTCGGGGCAGCTCGGGCTGGGACAGTCTGGACACGGCGGCGCCGCGGGGCACGGGCGCGCGCGCGCCACCAGTATGCCACGATAACTTGGGAGGCAATTCTAAACAGCAGGGCAAGTCTGCGAAGACCCAGAATATCGAACACCCTTCAAGCTTGAGCACAAGTGGCAGCAGAGCGCGATTTATACACACATGCGTGCATACATATATAAACCCATACATCCATCCATCCATACATACGCCCATACATACTTACACAATCATATATACATGCATCTCTACATACACTTTCAACGTGCATGCATACATACGTCCACGCATACACATGAACCCATACATGTATACATGCATTCATACACGCATAGGAATGCATGCATGATTGCATACGTACACACAAACATACGTCATACATACATAATCACATGCATGCACACATACATACATACAAACATACATGCATCCATACATACATACATACATATGTACATATATACATGTACGCATGCATACATACTTGCACGCCTGCATGCATACATACACACAGCCTCCGTTGTTCCTCTCCTCGACTAGAGTGAGAGCGGGACCCTCGTCGCCGCGTCTGCATGCTCCTCGAAACTTCTGGTGAGAACGCACCTGGGGACAGGTCGAGGGGCCCCCGCGAAGCGCCCTCCTCCAAGGACAATCGTCTCCAAGTCGGCCAGAACGGCAAATGAAGTCGCACGTGCGACGAATAAGCGCTGCTGAAGCTGCTGACGCTACTGGTGCTCACCCAGCCCACGTATCCTGGCTGGCACTCTCACTCGCTTGCTGCCGGCTTGTAGCAACCTCGAGAAGGTAGGCACAAAGAAGATCAGACAGAGGCGGGGGGGGGGCGACGACGACGCAATACATGCCGCCGCCGCCAGCCCGTCAAGGCGAGCGTGCCGCGTTGCGCCTGAATTCCCGTCCTCCTGCGCCGGCTCGCGCACGGCGGTCGCCGCGGCCGCCGCCCGCGCAGCTCGCCCTGCGCGGGCTCTGGCCCGCCGACGCTCCACCTGCGCGGCGCAGCCGCGGGCGAGGATGATCGCCGCGCGATGGAGCATCTTTCGTCGCGAGGTGAACGGCTCCAGCCCCTCCTTCCCGGCGACCGCTGCTGCGACGGCCCGAAGGCCGCGTCTGCGCCCTTGCTCATGCTGCCCTGCTGCTCGAGGACCACTGGCCGAAAAGCCACGCCCTGGGCGCGGCACCTCTCCTCGATCCGGCCCCGCCTGCGCTTGTCTTCGCCGTAGGTCTCGGACGGGGGCCCGGCGGCCAGCGCGGTGTCCGCCCAGTGGCCCGGACCCAGCGCGTTGATGACCGCAGTCGAAGCACACCTTCTCCGCCCGGACAGCACGGCTGCCGTCGGGGAGGTGCGCCGCCAGGGCCAAATGCGGAATCGCGAGGACGTCGGCCGGCCTGCGCTCATCTGGCGGCGCCTCCGGGCCCTCCTGGAGCAAGCCCGGGACCTCGGACTGTGGTCGCAGACCGCCTCGGCACGCGTAATCGTGGAAGACGTCGCGAACCGCGTTATGCGTGCCCGTGGTCTCAGGCCCCCCATGCAAGAGAGACACTGGATTCCCCGGGCGTCCAGAGCACCCCCGCAAAGAGGACAGGTGGACCCCTCCTCCAAGACATCGACACCGAGCCGGAGTGCGACGTTGTCGGCAAACTGGCTCGCAGCGAGCTGCATGTCAAGTGTCTTGGAAGGGGTGAGCTCGTACAGAGCACCTGCTCCCCGCGCAGAGTGCGCGTTCAGCCTCGTTCCGTCCGCTGGCGGCCCTGCGTCTCTCCACGCGGCCGCCACTTTCTTCCGCAGCGCGCCCCCGAGGTGCGCCCGGGTCAGCTCTTGCCGTGACTCGACCGCGAAGATCTCGGCTCCGGCGGCGGCCTCGATCCTGGACATCGCGTCCGCCAGCGGGGCGCCGGTGACGTCGTCGTCCCACCGGTGGCCTGGTCGGATCATCGCGCACAGGTCGTGATGATGCCTGATCTCCCCGACGTTTCCCAAAACACATCCGCACGCAAACAGCGAATTCCGATGGACACTCACTTCGCATCTCTGGCGTTGCTGGTGTTGCGTGTGTGCGTATTGCTTCATGCTCACCTCCGTCGTGACTTGGCCTTACCTCGAGGTGATCAAACACGATCCGATCCGCCCCAAGCCAAGCGGAGCCTCGCCGAGTGCACATAGGCTACTGCCATGGGTCTGGGGAAGCTCAAAATGGTCACACGGGAATCCTGATAACGAAGAGTCACGCGTCGCCACCTTTAGCGCGGACAAACGGTGGCATGCCGATGGCGTTGTTTCGCAAACGACGCGGGTGACCCTATTTGCCTGCACCGCGTGCTCTGTAGTACCGTGGGATCTGGCGTCGTGGGGCGCGAGGCTCGAGCAGGACGCCACGCCATCCGCCTGACACATCACGTTCGTGAACGTTTTATGATTCGGCGCTTTGACCTTGGGCGGAAGGGGGGGGGGCTCCGGACCTCTGCTTAGTGCGACTGTTTGCAGCAGTGCGTCCAATAGGGGAGGCCCCACCTGCACGAAACAGGCGCCAAAAACAAACAAGATATACTCTAGGGGGGGAGGGGAAGGGGGGCGGTGCGAGGGCCCGCGCCGACCGGCAAAACAAGGAATAAGAAAACTGGCACTTCTCCGACATCGATGAACAGGGTGTTTCACCTACACCGCCATCGTGCACACCGCCGAGCACAACTGGCTGCCCACGTTGTGCTCAACCCTCTGCAGGGCCATGCTCACGCCGCGTATGGCGCAAAGCGGCCTAGAGCCCCGCTCCCGTTGTCGACGGAAACTTCAAGCATGACCTTCAGCACGGCGTAACCAGGTGGTATAGTGCGCTGCTGGGGGTCCTTCACAGTGAGCGTCCTGGCGGTCTTCGCAAGTCTTGATGCAGATGAGGGCACCACGCGGAAGGGTGGACGGAGCATCGAGCGGCTCGAGTCGCCAGGCCCTCCTTGGAGGCGCACGCACCAGGCAGAGCGCGACACGCGGAGCAGCGGGTGTGTGCAAAGCCAGAACGTACCATTCCACAACCACTTTGGATCAAACGGATATTCGAAGCACTGCGCGCGAAAGCCGCCTGGAGCTGCTTTGCCAACCTCGTTCTGTATTGTCTGGCTGTCTGTTTTCAGGGCCATGCGTTAAACTTGCTTGTGTCAAACTACACTAACATGGGTGGAAAACAGTCGGCTGCCAGTCAAGCAGCTCGGCGTCAACGTGACGCGCACTGGACCGAAGCTTCATTCGACATCGATCGCCCAGATAAAACATTGGCCAGCGGAGCGCCTACTCAAACTCTATCAATCCAAGAGGGTCTGCGACGGTGGCGGCTGGAAGAGCATCTCCACTACTGCTTCAAATCAATCTGCCCCGCTGCGCAGCAGCACTTCCTTGACGCCCGACATCTTGTTCGCTGTTGCCCCTGCTTCTGGAAAATATTGCGCGCTTCCAAAACGCGGCGCATTCGGGATTCCGCCGGACGAATCGGTGTTCGCTATCAGATCTCAGATTGACCACCCAGGATCGCAGAGGGAGGCACTTGGCGAAAGAGAGGGAGAAAGAGAGAGAGAGAGAGAGAGAGACCGAGAGAGAGAGAGGGAGAGAGAGAGAGAGATAGAGAGAGATAGAGAGACAGAGAGATAGAGCGAACGAGAGAGAGAGGGGGATAGAGAAGGTAAGGAATGGCGGGGAAGGTGAGACAACGGAGGGACAGGGTCAAAGGGGTGCGCACAGGAACAAAACAGGAGAGGATGGCAACAACAACAATGAGATGCAGGGCGTCAAGACTGGAAAGTGGAGGCTGGGAAAGAAGCAAATCGAGGTGAGAAAATAGACTGGGGAAGTGCAGGCCAGAACATGAAATCTAAACGAGTCTCCTTCGTGAGATTCTTCAATGACGTCATCCTTTGCTTGTGGTGGCTGGCCAACTTCAGCCTTCACATTTTCCGGAATTCCGGAATAGCTCAACAGAACACGATCAGACGCGCCCGCTCCCTCTGCCTCCGCGCCTTCCATGATCGCCGTCCTCCTCCTGTCAATGTGAAGCTGACTTGCCCACAACATATACACATCGTTCATTTCTAATCGTGCATACTTCTACTTCTGCTCGTTTCTAATTGTTCCTGGCCGCCCTGGCCCCCCCGTGGCCAGGAACAGGCCCAGGAAAAACAATCAGAAATGAAAGGATCTCGGTCCCCAAAGAATCGAAGAACTTTTGAACAACCAGAAATGAACAGCATGTACAACTCCTTGACATCGGGGCCATCCCAGTCACTTAACTGAAAACCTACATTCAATCAGCTTAGCCGTTGTCACAGAAACACCGGTGTCGTCACATAGGTGGGCGCGCCAAAGCTGCACGCCCCCGACTGATCGACGCAGCTGCGGCCTTCACTTCTGTAGGCGCCAATGCAGGGTAACGTCAGGCAACACTTTGAACTCAGCCAGGACAATCTCGGCTGGCTGAACTCGGCCCGCTGAATTCGGCAACTGTGAGCTTGGACGGATGAACTCGGCCAGGCTGAACTGGGACCAAGAAAGTGCTACCCTGATGAATTCGGCAAATCTGAACTCGGCCAGCTGGAAACAAATCTGGGCCAGCTGAACTCGGCCAGGCTGAACTCGGACCAAAGAAAAACGCTGCCTTGCTGAATTCGGCAATCCAGAAGTCGGCTAACTGGAAACGAATCTCGACCGGCTGAACTCGGGCGGCCCTCCAACTGCAACGTGAAAACCATATGAACTCGGTCGAAAACACTCAGCCAGAGAAATGTGATCAAAGAAATTCGGCCGGAGAACCTCGGCCCGGGAAAAACTCCGCCGGAGAGACTCGGCCTCACGGATCCCGGCCGTCGATTTGGAAGCACTGAGACGATTGCCTCACAGAGGCAGCTGACAGAGGCAGCTGGGGAATCAGATCAGGTTTGGCGCGGGTACTTGTCTTTGCATTCTCTGCGCCTGCTGCTTCAGCTGTTGCCTCTTCTCTGTGCCGGAAGGGGGGGGGGTCCAGGGGAGCTCGATCACGCTTCTCCCTTCATGCAACAGGCCAACGCTGTTGCGCCGCCCGCGGACCACCAGAAGAGAATATATGCAGCGGTCTTGAGGAGGGGGCTCGGGTGTCTCTGCGGTTTCTCCTTTTAAAATTTATTTTGGGCTCCTCATGGGGCACTCCTGTCGGTCTTGTTTGCTGTCTTTGGGGCCTCTAGGGCAACCTTGTAGCATCTCTGGGCTCCCCTGGGGGCATTCTGGCTTACCTTATGCTATTCCAGGTGGCCTCTCGCACTCTTGCTGGCTTCCAAACGCTCACCACGGCGAGAACGCCCCATTCATTCAAAGCTCAATGCAATATCATTCATGTTTGCCTCTTGAGCCTTTCTTTTCTTGGGATCTTGTGACGTCTTCGGACTATACTGGGCGTTCTCATCACTGTTTATCGAGTTGGACCTCTTCTGGAGCCATCTTAGAAGACATCTTGGGCATCTTGGCGGCCACAGAGGATTGAGCTTGAAGCTACGAGGGCTCCAGAGGTGCGTTGGGGAGCTCGACCCCCCTACCCTCTTCCTCGCACTCTTTTTTCTGGATGTTGGCCTCCAGGGGAGGGGGAACCGGGGAGGGGTGACAAGCAATCATCACACACGCCTTGCCACTCCCGTCAAGCGGGGGCCAAAGGATTTCACCTCGTCCTTCTCGTCTGGTCACGTCGCCGCTGAAGGTCTGGTCACTTCGCCGCTTCTGGTCCAACATTGTGTCTGCGTTGGCCCAGCTTACTCTTTGTCAGGATTGGGAGGGTATACCTCAGGGAAGCAAATTGCGTGACTACAAAACGGCGACCCCGATGGATACAAAGAGTGAACTGGGTGAAAGAAAAAGATGTAGCACACCTGAGATACATCGATTATGGTAGAGATTATGGTAGACACGTGAACGACTACAGCACGTTTTGTCATCACGGAAATGGCTTGTCTGCGTTGGGTCAGCTCACTGGTGATTTCCGTCGTGATGGTTGCACTCGGGCAAAAAATGCAAACGTGTTGTAGCCAACCAGAGTTTGAACGTTTATTCATTGTCCACCTTCGCTCATTTTGCCTCGGCCTCACTATTTTCGTCTCCGCTACGCTCTCATCAACTCTCCTGATGATTCTCCCACCCCGAACCCGTCGTTGGGGACCTGCGCGCTCCAGTGCTGAAATTCAGTCCACTCGCATGATGGGATCAGCGCTTCTGTGCGCTTGCTTTCGGGGATGGACAGAACCCCCTTTAGCAAAACGTGGTTTAGCGAAAACGACCTCGGGCCCAAACCTGGCGGGCGCAAGCCTGGAAAATAACGGCCACGGCGCCCTCTCGAGAAGCGAAAACGGACAATTCACGAATCGACGTGTCACTGTTGGGGGTTCTGTCCACCCCCGATGCTTATGCTGCGCTTATTTGAACAATTGTGGGCTCGCCTGCCTGATGTGCCTCGCGCGGACCCTCAACGACACCTCCATCCACGCGCTTCGTACTCGCTCAGTGAAGGGGCCCTGGGACACACAAATAAATAGACACACATGACAGGATTCCCCATAGTTTCCCACATTTTCTTGGTTTTTGTCTTCCCCCCCCCCACTTCCCATAGTTCCCCATATTCTCTAGGGAATCGACGATTCATTGTGTCCGTGTGTATTTCTCCCCCTCCCGACTCAGGGCCTCTGAACGGCAGACGCTCCCCTCAGAGCTTGCCCCTCGGAGGCCGCGCGCGGGCGAAACGCCCGCGCAGACGCCCGGATGCACTCGGCCCTGCAAACTCGGTGATCAAACTCGGCTGAAGAAACTCGGCTCTGACGAACGAACAACACACACACCCATACCCATAGGGAGGTCGTTGGGAGGAGGACTGGCTATGGGTATGGGTGCGGGTTGTCGGACCCTGGGGAACGCTCCCGTTCGAGCGGGGACCCCCATCCGACAACACGCACCCATAGTCCTCTCGGATCCACCTATGGGTATGGGTGTGTGTTGTTGGTTCGTCAGGCTCGGCAACAAAAGCTTGGCCGGGCAATTCCGGACGGGGAAAGACACGGCCAAGGAAGCTCGGCCAGACAGCCTCGGCCAAGAAACGACTCGGCACGAGCCGAACTCGGCTGGCGCCTGGCGCTGAACTCGGCCCGCCAAACTCGTCCCGCGCTCCGGCGTCAGCCAGGAATTAGCGCTAAACTCGGCCAGACAAACTCGGATTGACCTGGAATCGGCGATACATCGCCGATAGATCGGCGGCAAGCCCCCGATAGCGAATCCGCGCGTTCCTAGGCGGGGTGGGCTATCGGGTCCCCATTGGCGATCAATGGGCGATTGGGGGTCGATGCGCCCCCCCCCTGCCCGCTATCACTCAGGCGTCCATTCTCCCATCTGTCCAATCTTGTGCTCTGATTTCTCGTCAGAAGACCCAACGTTCTCCGCGATGGCCCTCGCCGAGAAAAGATGCACGCGTCTGAGCGATGCCAAGCATGAGCCCGTCCTGCCTTGACATTGCCCGTGGATGTTTGAAGGGGCCCCAGGACACACAGATAAATACGCACAAATAAAAGGATTCCCCATATGTTCCCACATCTTCTGGGTTTCTGCCTTCCTCCCCTCCCCATATTTTTCCCATTTTTTCTGGCATCGAGGATTAATTGTGTCTGTGTTTTTCATTTCCTCCTGGTGAATGGGCGATCGGGGGTCCATGCGTTGCCCCCTACGCCGATCCCCCCCGTAACACTGCCCCTAAGAAGGGGGCGTGAAGATGCAGCGGAGAGGAACAAAAGACAGGGAGGACAGCGGGCGACGCAGAGGCGAACCGCTCCCGTCGCGCCTCCCACCGCCGAGAGGGGTCGATTAATTGTGTCTGTGTATTCTTTCCCCCCCTGAATGTTGTTGGGCACCAAAAAACTCGGGCGGCCGGCGGCCGCTCGGGGCGGCCCGGGGACCCCCCCGGAACGCCCGCCGCAGCCTGGAGCCCCCAGCCCGAAGCGTTCCCCCTCCTCCTCCTCCTCCTCCTCCTCCTCCTCCTCCTCCTCCTCCTCCTCCTCCTCCTCCTCCTCCTCCTCCCTCCTCCTCCTCCTCCCTCTCCTCCTCCTCGTCCTCCTCCCTCCTCCTCCTCCTCTCCTCCTCCTCCTCCTCCTCCCTCCTCCTCCTCCGCCCTCCTCCTCCTCCTCCTCCTCCTCGTCCTCCTCCCTCCTCCTCCTCCTCCTTCTCCTCCGGCCCACAGTCGGGGCGTTGACCTAAGGAACCCTAAATAAGGAACGAGGCCCCTATGTTCCATAAGCTAAGCTTCGATTTCACATCGAAAACCTAAGGAAAACCTGAGGCAAGCTGCGAAACAATTAGGGAACACGGAGCCCCTCCCCAATGAAAAGGGTTCCTTCTTCAGCGCCCCGACTGTACAGTCAACCCGTGTGATGTCGACCAGCGGCGACCCTGCCGCCGGCGTTCAACGTTGAACGCCTGCGGCGGTCCACAATTAGTGGATGTTGATCGATCTGACGTTTCGGAAAAGGCCGATCGTTCAAGAAAGTTGAACGGTCCCCGCGGTGTCAGGAACCAACGCTGGGGTCGATACGACAGGAACCTGGGGTAAGGTGGTCTGACGACAAAGTGAAAAATTATAGTAAGGACGGCCGATAAAGATACAAATGCCTTGGAAGACCATGCCGACACTTTGAGAGCGGAGCGATGTTAGCGCACGCGGCCAAGGATGGGCCGAAGGGGAAGGATGCAAGGCTGAACTTCGAAAGCTGCTCATTCTTACTTTACATATTGACTGCATCCCCAAGTAACGTTGCCCAAGAGTCGAGCGTGCCGCCAGCCCCAGAGGTCTGCAGCAGCAAGAGGATCCGATCGTTGGCCGACTGCGCCATGCTGTGCCGTTTATTCGTATTAATATTAATATTACTAGTGCTGTTATTATGGTTGGTCTT